GTGTTTAAGGTGATCTTTTGGCATACATTGCATTAACAGTGAAATTTCCTTTTACATGTGACCACTGTTTCAGACCTGTGCAGCTGTTACAACAGATGACTTTTGTTTTTAATTGAATACTTCAAACCTGTTCCTGCATAACTATTTTAAGGATTTTTTCAGGCTAGTTATAAAAGTTATTTTAAGTCTAATGTGCTTAAGCCTTCAGTTAAAAGTAGTTCACTCAAAATTCAGTGTAGAAAAGTCAATGTGGTCTGCATAGTAGTTACAGGAATTGCATCTGTCCTTGAAACGCTGTTTTGTTTGAGTGATGGGGAGTGGTTGAGAACTTCCTGCAGAGCAGATAACTTCTATTTTCGTAAATACTCCAGTACTTGAATCGATTGATTTTTATTTTTTTTAATATACTTGAAATTTCTTCTTGCTCTAATGCTCATACTAAAAATCTGATTCTCTTGAAATCCTGTTTGCTCTTTGCATATTTATTGGCTCTTTGCATATATTAGAGAACATGCAATACAGTCTGTCTTGCCATTGTCTGTTGAAGTGCAGGTTTGATCCAGCCAGTATAGAACTAGCTCTGTAGGGGTGAGGAGGACTGTGCTGTGTATCATCCTTGATTGTTCCTTCAAGGAGCATTGCACTGTAAGTACATCAGAATGACAAATTGATGAACTGCAACAGTATCTTTTTGTCAATGTTCCACATAATGAAAATGCCATACTTGTGTGAATATTATGTTGGAATACAGTGCTGATATCTTAGGAAATCGTAATTGCTTCTTAATTCAGAAACATAGGTTTGCGTATATACATATTATATACACATAATGTGAGCTTTGTGGGTAAGTATTCCTGAATGTTATAGCAATAGAAAAAAAAAAAAAAAGAAAAAGAATTATGTTGCTGTTTATCTGAGTAATAGTATTTTCTTTAGTACTCTTGAGACAGCTGTATCATTCAGTGTATTAAAGTATGCATATCGTAACATTGAAGTTTTTGGAACCACTTGATAGACAGAAGTTGTTTTTGTCATCAGATAGTTTGCAGATATGTAGTGATGTAGGTATGTTTTAATTCTATAACTTACTTTACCTTCTTGGAACAACGTATTGTTGCTTTGAGAATGAATTTTTTTAGGGTGGCTGCACAGAGAAGTAAAAGTTAAGGCTTGAAATTTGAAGTAGTTGATTCAGGTAATTAGCAATATATGTACTGTGCTGTAGAAATGGAAGGAATTATTTTTATCCCTTTAACAATTAGGAATTATTCTGGTACCTTATAAAGAATAGGAGGGTATTTTCTATCTTTAGTGTAGGGTATGAAGTATAATAGTTCAGATATTTTGCATGGTATTTTGTAGATAATCTTAAAGAGTGGTGCATTTGTTATGTACTGAACTGAGCAAAATTGAATTCACTGGATTCTTTATCATTCACAAAATGGAGGCTGTTGATTTTGATTCATTTAAGGTATAAAATCTTTATTAATTGCAAACAGTGCAATTATTTATACTTCACAGTGCCTTCCCAGACCTTCCACCTTAGGTTCTGCTGCAAAAAAGCAACAGGTAAGCACAACCTAAGGAAGTATATAAATTTAAATATTTCAGTACATTAATGTTGTCCCTGTGAGATCTTTGTGGTTGTGTATTGAAAAGCAATCTTCTGCTTACCCAAATGCATTGTTACTCACGGTTCCATTTCAGTGGAAAGTCTCTTTAAGTTTTTAAACAACTGTTTATATTTCTGGGTAAATATGTTTTTTTGTTTTTTGTTTTTTAAAGAAAAGATGAGTAGACTGCAGTAACTGAAGTCAAGCAGAATAAGTAGTTGTTTTTTGTTCTTTTTCCTCAAATAGCTACTTGTTGCAATTAAAGAATCAAAACTTTTACAATATGCAGGAATTACTTGTCATAGAAATGTCAACAGCCTTCACAAATGTTTTTTATAGTAGGGCACTGTTCTGACTCAGCCCATAAGACGTAAATACAAAGAATATGACTTCTTGTTGCCGTTGAACTTGATGACTTGTCTTACAGTTGCAGTGTTTTAGTGGCATTTTTAGATAACTTAGTTTGTTAATTCATACTTGACATAGTAGGAAAATAGAATCTGGAGTTTCACAGATTAGTATGTTTTATTGGAAAAGCATGTGCACCAATTAAATGTTAACAATACAGCAAATAATATTTTATCCATATATCAGTCAGTGTATCTTGTTTCTTGATACTTTAACTGAATTGCTGTATATTTTGATAGTTAAAATGTTTGTATGTCTTACAGATGGTCTGGTACAGGTTTTTCCTCTTTTTTTTTTTTTTTAGCTTAAAGTAAAGCAGCATCTGTTTGGTTTTTTGTTGTTGATTATTCTGTTTCTGAAATGTGCTGCTCCTCTTTCAAAAGTCCTGCTTATCTGTACATTCAAGAAAAATATTCAAAAATACTGCCTTCATTTTCACACACAGTGCTGAAGATGCTGCAAGCACCAAATCATAGCTCATAGAATCAGGTCCTGAGATAGTTACTACCAGTAAAGAGGAATCCTTTGAGTGTATGCCATTGGTGAGCCGATGAGCATGGACCATAGAAGGGCTCCATGTAGAAGGTAAAATTGGCAAAAGCATAACAGATTTGAAATGTATCCCATGGTATAGGGTATAATTTTTGTTTTGATCACTTTTCATTCTTTAAAGTATTATTTGTTTGACCATAAATGTTCCATGATCTGTTATTTTTTTTTAATTGTGAATTAATAATATTAAACAAGCAGTTTTAATTTGTATTCTTCTATATGGTCAAGCTTAGATATCTTGACTTTTTGAACTGAATCAATAGTTGTCGTTTAGTTTCTCAAGCTACTTAATATTTGATTATCTGTAGTGTGATATGTGATTTGACTTCATTTTTGACACAAAAAAAAGTTAGGTGTGTACCGTTTGGATTTTGATACTGTGAATTTAGTGTTGGGGTGAGTCATTTCTTCATTTTACATGGTACTTTTTTGCTTATAACTGTCATTCCTGAAATACTACTAACAATATTTCAATTGGTAAGTTTAGCCAGTGGGAGGAAATGAGGAAGAAAGCCAGTTTATTGGAATGTTGCTAGGGTGTGGAAGACGAGTTTCTTACCTCAGCATATAGCACTTGAGGTGTATTGCCTGTCACTGCAGAGCTTACAGGCGTGCTGTTTTGTACTACATGAGGTGGTTATTTTTCAACTCTCCAAATTCGTAGTTCTTAGGAGAATTTAAAAAAAAAAAAAAGGAAAAAAAAAAGCCAAACCCAAAAAACACCAACATTGTTGGAGTTACTTTGATGGCAGAAGTTAAGTAGACTTTCTTAGAAATGTAATGAACTTGTCCATAAGCTGCGTTTATGTGGTTCTTGCTTTTTTTTTTTTTTTTTTTTTTTTTTTTTTCTCTTCCCTTGGAGTCTTAACAAATTAGGTAAAATTTAACGAATATGAAAAGTTCTGTAAGGGAAGCATGTTTGAAGTAGGGAAAAGATTTTTCATATACCTTTCTGTAGCCTAGACTGTAGTAGGACATGAAGTAAAATGTCAGGTGGATAATCTTCAGTCTAGCATGATCACAGGTCATGTTTTGTTCAAGGTGAGCAGGCAGACAGGATCGTTCTTCACTTACACAGCCTCTCTTAACATGTTTCATCTTTTACCAGTAGTATTTTACTGTATCAGATGACAGAAAATGTTTCTCCCCTGTTCTCTTCCAAAGTAATTTTAAGTTTTCCATTGCATGCTAAGGGCTCCTATTTTGCTTTTATTTGGAAGTGGGGGGAGGAAGGGAGGACTGGGCCTTTCAGAAAGCCTGCAGTTGATAGGATTCCTTCCTCCCTAGTAATGGCTTGTAAAACTCGTATGTATGCACAAATATTTCTCTTGCGTGCATGTGAAATGCATTTTCGTCCTGAGAAAAGTGTTCTCTGCAGAAACTACCCGTGTGTAAAAAGAAGATTGGCTTTAAAAGGCAACTGTGATGGGAACAGTGTCTTAGGGAGATGCAGCTTGGACTTGAGGTAAATTGAATGCTTTACAAAACTGTGGTTTTGAGCTTGCATTGACATTGTATGTAATATGGGTACACGTTAACTGTATGATGTTTTTTGTATGGTTTTTCTCAATAAATGTAAACTGATGGATAATAATAGCAATGTTTTTGTCTTTCTTATGCTCCTACCCTGCCTCCATTAGAAGTTACAGCTCTAGAGGAAAGATATCGCAACAAAGACTCATGTGAATGAACATCACCCACATGAAAGTCTATTTATATGGCTATTAAAATGCTCACTGAAAACATCATGCAACTTATAACTTTTTTCAAGATTTCTCTGAATTTTACAACTATTTTGAGGCAAAAGAGTGACTTCCATAGGTAACTATACTAATGGCAGTCAGCATGTTTACCATAGTAAAATTTCTTAATAATTTTTACATGATTCCATAAACTTAAACTACTCTAGCTTATCATGTTTTGTGCTAAGGCTCTGCATGTGCTCTTCAGTTGAAAATGTGGCTTATTTGTAAAATAACTCTTAAAGAAGCTTGTGCTAAAAAATTCAGATGGGTTTAGCACAATGACTTGAGCACTGATACCTAAGAGATCTTACTGAAAAATAAACTACGCCTCAAGGAGGTGTAGTTTAGAGATGCAGCAGTAAATTCACTGCATCAAAAGAAAGTTGAAAAACAAAGTGCTTCCTGAAAATGTTTCCTTCCTATCAACTAACTGTTGGCTCGTTGCCAGCTGTTTCTCTGTCTTTTAAGAAATGAAAAAGATTTTTTTTTTTACAAGCGAATGTTGATGCTGTAATGATAACTGTAGGCCTTACTGAATTATTCAGTAATTATTACTGATTATTCACTGTTTGGATTACCAACTGCATGGGTTGATGAGAGCTTAAGAGTTCAAATGCAAGTCTATTAAAAAAAAAAAACACGGCCACCAAACTAATGCTCTTAGACCACAGAACAATGAAAGTCAGCAGTTATGTAATCTTTTATTGTTTAAAAATAATACACTGAGTTCTTGAAAAATCATGGATAAGTATTTCCTTTTGCCAGTTCTATGCCTCTGGGATAAAGTAAGACAGCTTAAATATTTAGTGCTCATGCAAAACTATACCAGTAGATTTACACTACTACAAAAGTTTCCAGATTGTGTATTTAGCTTTATACTATTACACAACAGTTGGTCTTCAAATATGGGAGCGCTACTATCATTCAGTTTTTCCTTTTAGTTGATCTTTCACACATTGATTCCTTCTTTTTAGCCTGCCATACTAAATTCTTGTACTGAGCAAGGAACCTGGATGCACAACTTGAAGGTTATTCATATCTGATGCAGGAATGACAATGCATATCCTTGCTTTCTTTAGTTGGCCCCATCAGAAAAAGAGATGATGCAGTAAGAAAGTTTTGAGGGGAAGAAAGATTCCAGCTAAAGTAGAGCATTAGTAGTCATCAGCTAGAAAATAAAAAGGTTAAGAGAGAGATTAATAGATTTTTCATAATAGGAAAGATACAAGAAGAGCATTTGAGATTGAAGCAAATTAAAATACTAACTCTTACTTTCAATGGTGAGAATACAGGTGCTAGCAGATGTGCCTCTGTTGTTGACTGCTTTACACATATATTCACCTTCATCTTCTGGGAAGGTTTCGGGCAAATAAAGGCAATAGGTTTCTCCTCTTTCAATATATTGATAGTCCTCAGAGTCCTGCAACATTTCCCCCTCAAACCACCATGTGACTTGAGGTTTTGGTTCTCCAGTAATTTTAACTGTAAATCTCACTGGCTCACCATCAACAACTGATGTGTTTTTCAGTGATTTCTTGAACCAGGGAGCTCCAGATCGAGCTTGATCTTCCTCATCTTCACAAGTAGAACCATTAATAACGCTTCCCTCATCATCATCTTCTTCTTCCCTTTTCTGTTTTAAAATAATCCAGTTTAGAATTTTCAGAGTAGCAATAGCAGCACGACTGCTAGTAACATGTAGTTGATTACAGAAAAGCTGTTGTTTTTAAGAAGGGGAGATGCCTATCCATGCTAGAAAACAACGTTCTGAATGTGGAACAAGCAGCAAGTGCTGTCTAAACTTTGTTTTAATGTAGCTGGTATGGTTGGTGTCTTAGGGGAAAGTATAGGCATGAATAGTGATTGCATTTTCAGAATATTCAAAGGAAACTGCAGGTTCCTTCCAACATATTTCTCATGCTTTTCAAAATATTAACTCAAAAGCAATTACACAAATACAGTAATTCATGTAAGTATAATGCTCATTTTATACTGATGGCTACAATGCCAGAAGTGGTAATCAGAAGCCAAGTTAAATGACATTGAGGACTGAAGAAAAGGTACTTTGTAATCTCTACCTTCTGTAATGCAGCATCAATTTCTTTTTGTTCGAACTGCATGCGGAGTAATTTTTGTTCTTCAATTCTCCTCTGTTCTTCTTCTTCCCTAGCCCTTGCCATTTGCTCAAAACGTGCCTTCATATTTACTTTATGAGTAAATGGAGCCTCAGATTTCTTGGCTGGTCTCACATCTACCTTGTCATCCTTGGGGGGAAAAAAAAAAAATAGGAGATACTCATGTTTTACTTTTTAAATGTTCACAGCGATAGTATTAGTTTAACACATCAGTAAATTTAACTGTGCAAAGCCTCCCTGAGTCCTCTTGGTTATTTTTCTCCACTCAGATTTGTTAATGTTGGATTTAAAATGAAGTCTCTTAATAATTTCTCAGGTTCTGAGATGGGTGGGTTTTTTTCCTTTGATTCATTTGATGAACCTTAGTCTAATATTTCAATTACAAGTTTTTCTAAAAAAAATTTGCTCGAGTCTGCAAGGTATGGATTCAAGAAACAAAGTATTGTACAGATAGAAATCTGTACTATGAATTCAGATGTTTCTTATGATGTCCCACTCTCGATGGCACTTTAATAGCAGTATGTTGTAGTAACGCAATAGAAATAACTTTGGCTACAGCTGTAGCTCTGGATTAGAGACGATAAACTGTTAAACTAAGGTAAGGAAAAGAAAAATGCAGGGTTTTTGTGAAGTACAGAAATGGTAATTGGAATACTTGCTTTCTCTTACTGTCACATACTAGAGATATGGAACCTTTCTTCGCATTGTGCAGTTAGCTGGTGTCTAAGTCACTGCTGATTTGCTTGTACAAGTTCTTATTTGTGCTATCGGCCTTTCTATTTGTGGCCATGAAAAGCAGGCCTTCCCAATTAAATTATCTACTCTGTGGGTTTTTTTAGCTGGGCATTTGCTCCATTTTTTGGAAAATAAGCAGCTTAATGATCACAGAAAATTACTGTAGAGTAGATGAGGGAGGGGAGAAGATAGAAATACAAAATATTTGCAAAAGTAATTTCAAATGTACTAGAAAAATACTTTCTAGAGATTTTACTTTCCTGTGTAAGTAGCGTACCCTCTTGGGGCAATGCTAAGTGCTCAGTCACTTTTATGTCATGCTGTTCTGGCTTCAACACTTAAGCAGGTTGTTGACCTTATAGAAATGTTAGCGTCACTCGTTAAATGAAAAGTTTAAGAAGTTCTGAACTGATACTGAAGTGAATGATTGCAGATATTAAAGCCTCAGTGTGGGGCTTTGATTTATCTGGTGGAGACAAATTAGAGTTCAGAAGGAGCAGCAACTTGCATGACCATTAATAGAACAGACTCAAAAGTCAGCATGTTTCAGCACCTCAGGCCAGCAGTTTGTTAAAGTGCTGAATTGAAGTGTGAGCAGAAAAACACATCTCTGCTTGAGTGCAAATGATGGATGATAAACTGGTGCAGTTTCTCTTAGAGATGCCACCATCATACATCCAAAGAAGGGAACAGAGAAGTAAGGACAGAATCGTGTTGGAAATACAGCAAATTTTGGTGAAAGCAATAGTATTGCCCAGTACTATCAGTTGTGCTAGTTAAGTAAATCACTACCATACAGAACACAAATTACCTCTTGAAACTTCTCAGCTTCCCTTTCTCTTATTTCTTCATCCATTGCTCTTCTTTTGGCTCGTTCTTCTTCAATCTTTTTCTGTATTTCTTCTTGAGATAATTGTCCTATTTTCTCAAACTTGCTTTTCAGATTCTTCGCTTGAATAGAACCACTTCTTTTTAGCTTTATTAATTCTTCATATTCTTTGCTTAGCTCAAAAGTTTCAGACTCCTCTTCCAGCTGTTTAGAAATAACAGAACATATCAGATAGAAAATATATCCTGGCTATTTTCACTACCTGTTCTCCCCGCAGATTGGTGTAACTTTAAGTACTTGAACAATTCTTTTAGCTTGGATTTATTTCAAGTTGAAGATCTTTTCCCCCCCAATAACTTTTCTCTCAGTGTGGTCTGAACTATACTGAGTTTATGGCATCTTTAAACTTTAATTTTAAAATGTCTTCACTGGTTTTACAGGAAAAAAAAAACAAAAAACAAATGAGATTTCAGGATGTCACAGCTGTAAAAGAAGTGACCTTTCTGGACACTGTTGTCAAACTATGTCTGCAGCTGTAACTGTTTATATTGTGCTCTATCACTTCATGACCTCTGAAGGCAGTAAGAGAATATATTTCAGTTGTCTGTCTTCTTCCCCAGCATGCAAAATGTACTTGCAAAACCCACAGGCTTTTATTTCTTGCTTTAGCTTTGCTTACAAAAAAAAAAAAAAAAGTCATTCCCTAATATTCAAAAGGGAATCATATTCTGAAAATTACCACCCACAGCCAAATCAAATTGGTGTATGCTTCATGAATGTGATGTTCCAGTCATCTGGTATGCAAGGCGAATTCTGTGTGTGATTCTTAAAATCAGCTGTGACAGCCTACAAATCCTTGATACACTCACTAGAAACAACTTGAGGTCACTGTAATCCTCTCCAAATTATTTAACACCGCATTTCCCTGAACAGGGCAGGAATTTTGTTCTTTTGTTTTTGGTTTTGGGTTGTTTTTTTTTTTTTCATTTTCATTTTTTAACTTTGAATCTAGGTGTTTCTATTTTCCCTGGGTTGGAAAGACAGTGTATTCATTTTATTAACACAGAAGAATTTGCAGGTAACTGCAACTGCAAATGCTGAAAGGACAAATTTGAAATTGTTTTTACTTTAAGAGTAGCAAGGGGATACAGGTTTTTTAGTAGGTAGATCACTAATTAAATGACTGCAACATTATAAAAAGATGTTTTTGATGTTCATTCTTTTCGCATAATACAGAAGCATTGGTTTTAAAATCCCTTAAAAAGGAACTCCCAGTTAAAATCTTGAACTCTGAACTCTGAACATTGTATTTTTCTTCAGAGCATGCTTAACACATCTTTTGATGTACAAACCTCTCCCATTTCTTGTCTTAACTGCTGGAATTCTTGCTTTTCCATTTCCAACTTTTGCCTACGCTCCTCTTCCGTGCGTCTCTTTTCTTCTTCCATCTTTTGTCTCAGCATCTCCTCAAAGTTGATTTCCAGTTTACCAGGGATGAGAGATTCTTGAGAAAATGTTTTAAACATTTCTGGTGATTCATCATCATCCAGCACCTGCTGGAAATTCAGATTGTTAATGGCGGAGGGACTTGGGAGGAAACATCCAAGTGTTCTGCCACAGAGCAGAAATGCAGGAATGGAGCACAGGTCTCATGTTTTGAGAAGGAAAGTGTTCGGGGGTTTTGTTCTTTCTTACTACAGCACTAAACTTTTTATAATGGAGATGAATGGAGAGTATGTCCTCTAAAAGCAGCTTTGGGACTCAAAGCTGTAAATTCCTGTTCATTCCACAGGCTGTCCTTAAATGAAATATTTGTCTAAATGGCATTGCCCTTAACACTGAAGTATCTGTAGTCTTTCTTCTAGCAAACTGTGTTATATTTCTTTGATACCACTATTGCTAATATGTATAATTGAGAAGAATTTTCTGTGAGAAATTTATGTGCAAATGGAAAATACAAAATCATGTTGCCAGTTCATTGTAGTGAGGATTTCCTTGTTTCCCTGTCCTTTTCTCAGGCTGCACAGCCTGGCTGGGCATTAATGATCATTCTGCATGAGAAGATGGCTTCTTTTTCTGTCCAATTTATAAAAGGATAGTATGGCCCCAGAAAAGCACTTCATTACTTCCAAAAGCAGGAAATCTAGAAACAAATACTTGATTCCACTGTACTTGTTAAAGCAGGGGTGATAGCATGGCCATCTGAGTTGCATAGGAAAACAAATTCTAGGTAAAAACCTATGTGAGTCTACTTGCGTGTGTAACTATGTAAACCTGTCACACTGATAGAGACTTTCTCAACAAGAGCAGTCTGTAAGGTGTGAGATGAGGTCAAATGCTGATCCAGAACTGCACAAAAGTAACAGCTTTTGGCATGATTGAGTCAGTGCATGTTTGAAAAGTCTTGTGGCAAACATTATGGAGCCCAGTCTGCCTGAAATTCTGGACATTCCTAACAGGAGCCATCATCCAAATTCTAGAAGGGATTAATGGATCAAAGCTTTCAATTGAGAAAGTGTTTTAACTTTATTAAATATATATATATATGCACATTAAAATGCTTTAGTACTTCCCTTTCTCCTTTATTGCTGCTTACTGCTGTCATAATTTGCACTTTTTATTGCTGCTTGTGCCATCTTTGTTCATAGTGCTGTTCTGACCTATTTTGCCTGTTTCTGTTTTTATTTGATCCTTCAGTAATTGTTCTGTGGTTTTTGTTGTTGTTCTTTTTGGCTCAACCAAATACTCTTAGTCACTATAGATTTCCTTCAAATTTTCCCTGTGAGTAAGCTTTCAGTTGGACTTCAGCCCCACCATTCCTTCCATTCTTCATTCGTTTTGCATAATACAAGCATAGTTGTAGAAATTGTGTCATGGAGAAGTGGAGTCAAAAAAATGAAGCTGTAAACTATTTCCTTCAGTGAAAACAATGCAGAGCTGCATATTTTTTAGGAGATAACTACAGCTAAGTTGATAAAGAGCTGTGCAAGTCTCTTTCTGATGGTGTATGAATTTGTATGCTTATGAAGCAAGAAGCATTAATTCAAAATGTATTAACATATTTGTGTATGAACTTAAAAAGTGCATATGACCAAACAACTGCATCTGTTTGGATTTTTGAGCCAGTAATGAAAGGATAGTAAGCCAACTTATTCCTGATTTAAGAGAAAAAAAGAGAAAGGATAATATCAGCTGAATTGTGTGATACACAAAACCCTTGTGGTTAGCTTGGTAAATATTATATGTGAGACTGTGGCTTGGTCTGGTTTGATTTCTACAAATGAGAACAGCTGTGGGAAAGAGTCCTGCAACAGCAGTGGTGTGCAGCTCTGCCAGCCAATTTTCAGTGGGCAACCAGTGATTGATACAAAATAGAACAGCTTTGTGTTCATACGAAGACAGGTTCTTCACGTAGTTACTAATGGAAAGCGACTGACAGTGGAGAGAAATGAATGCTTGAGTCTGAAAAGGATCAAGTTGATAGAGGGAGGCATGGAAGTAGCAGAAGAAAATGTAAAATTGGGAGGTCCTTGCAAAAGGAGGTAGAGGTAGCATTTGTGGTTTTCAGCAGCAGTGTTACTACTTCTGTTTGTGTGTATTTTTTCAAAAAGAACTAAAAGTCTGAAGAGGTTCTAAAACAACAATTTAAACACTTAAAAATGAACGCGAGGTTTTAGTAATTCTGAGTGAGATGACTAATGTGTTCTTAAAATGCTAAAAAGCACATCAGCACGTTGCTGCTATATTGCGTAGGTGTGGATAATGCTTGTATTTTCTGTTCCAAGTAAAGGAAACTCTGTATTCTTTCAGGATGCTAATTAAAAGAAAAATTTTCAAGCATGTGTATGTTAAAAACATCTTCAGTTAATTTTTTAGACTAGTGAACATCTTTAAGTCTGCTGTTACAGTTGCAGGCTGTGCTGCATCAAATGGATTAAGCCTTGATTAATCAATGAGATTCTTCTTGCCGGAATGCTTAAGCTTTTACACAGGCAGAAAAAATATTCTGAAGAAAGCAGTAAAAAACAGAAGGCATTCTGCTGTTTGTGCCTTTGCTTTACTTTCTTTCAATTATCTGCTTGCTTTTCATAAAGATTATAATAGCAGAAATCCAGTACCGCTCCTTTTCCAGGGGCTTGAGGTTCTGTGCTCCCACTTCAGAGGTGTGCACAGACCATAGACATTATTTTCAATATTTGCTTTCCACTACAAAATCAGGTATAAATTTACATTGTAATTTTGTGGGTAGTCTTTCAAAGCAGAGGTCTTGTCTTCAGCCCAATTTTCAGTCAGAGGGAGCACTGCTAACAGTACTAAAAGCCATACAAAGTGTTAATTTGCTTCACAAGCATCACCTTGAATTATGGAGAAAAAAAAATGAATTAGGCATGCAGATGGTCTTTCAGTAGAGCCACACCGGGGGATGAAGGAAGAGATTGCCAGATATGTGTGTTACTCCACAGCTTTTTGTGGTACGTCTTGCCCTTTGTTTTGAAGAATATAATGCTTGCATTTTAGTTGGTATTAGACTAATTTAACACTGTATTTCCTAGCATCCACCAGAAAGTAGTTGGCTTATATCCAAAAGCCTGCTGAAACTTGAACTTCTTGGAATAAGCAGTGAAAGACTCTATGCAATTTTGTGTATGAACTACTGCTCCCACTCTCTGATGTTAGGCATCCGTCTCTCCTTCCAAATAATGTCACTGTGTCAGTCTTTGCTCCCTGAAAATTTATCTTTGATATAATCTTAATTCAAATTCTATCATCATATATCACAGGAATCAGTTCTAGATTGATGTTCTGTATAAAAAGTTGCAACAGTAAATTCCACAAGTTGCCTTTTCTGTTTCTCTGAACAAGTAATGAAATACAATAAAAACATCAATTAGCTGACTTCAGCTTCTTCGTTTTTTCCTTCCTCAAGGGCCACAGATGACCTCAGAATATGCACTTGCAGTGAGCATTCTTCTAGTGTGGCATTAATTACACTTAAGTGAGTAAAAAGTGTAGGGAGATTAACTTGGAAAACTGCAGCTAAGGAGACTGGAATTTCTTCCTTGCACCCAGCCAAAAACAAAAACTTCCTTCTGAAGATACTCTGCTTTCCGTGTTTGTTGCACCTAGCATAGTACTAGCAGTTGGAAACAGCATCTGGTTTTCATTTGAGATCTTTTCTAGGCTTGCTTTGAGGAAGGATAATTTCTTGATAATTTTTTATGGAGAACCTTGATTAGTTTAGCTTCTATTAAGTCATAGGGTAAACTAATAAATAAAGTTAGAGCATATACCTGATTGTATTTAAAACTTTTCCCTTTCATTGTGGAGACTGATGGAAAATGATAAACTAAATACTAAACAAAGTATCATACCATGTTCTTCCGTGCTTCAGCAAATGCTCTTTTCTCTTCTTCTATACGTCTTCTTGCATCTTGTTCTGCTCTCCTCTTTTCCTCTTCTCTCCTCAGTCTTTCCATCTCCTCAAAACTGAGCCTAAGTTTACCAGGACGGAATTCTCTACCAGAATTTTCAGATTCTTCATGGCCACCTTCATTTATCTATAGAGAAAACAGAGAGGGGGAAAAATATATATATATATATATATATATATATATATATATATATACAATATATAAATTTATATATATACAATATATATATATATGTAATACTGAGATAAGGTTGGTTTGTTTGTTTATGTATCCATTCTGAATAATAAATACTCCACTAATTCCTTTCTGATTCTTTATAATTGTTTTTTTCTCCTGGAGAAAAAATAGAGTTTCAAGGTGAGGCTGGATCAGGCCCTGGGCAGAGTGATGTAGCTGTGGTGTCCCTGTTCATTGCAGGGGAGTTGGACTAGATGGCCTTCAGAGGCCCCTTCCAACTCCAAGGATTCTATGATTCTATATGATGGTTTGGTTCCTAGAAGAAACTTTTTAAACTTCATTTTAACCAGCAAAGAGAGAGAGGAAATATATTTCAGAATCCCATATCCCTTCTATATTTATTTAAATCACTTCAAGGTGTACTTCAAAGCAGGATGTCTTACCAGGAAAAGGACAAACAATTAAGTAGCTGTTTCATAGTTTCAGGGTTGGATTATTTCCTGTAAACAAGCACTCCCTATTCACTTTCTTCACATCATTTTCATTGACTTTTATACCACTGAGTTTTCACCAATGCACTTAGCAGTTTGAAAGAAGGCTGTAGTTTTATAGCAAAACTAAAGTAACATCTTGAATCCAGACTGACGTTTTTGTTTCTCTTTTTTTTAGACATTTAATCATCACTGAAGAAAGGGAAGTGAGATATTTCATTATTTCTTATCTTCAGTAAACATTATCTGCCAAGAGAAACCCATTGTTTGCAAACTGCAGCGAAGAACAAAAGAATGAACCATCTTCAGAGCCATATCATGAGGTGCCTCATTTATTAATGGTGGAAATTGACTGGGAACGGTCAAGAGTACTAATACTCCAACTATCTGCGTACTGCAAGCAAGCCTGGTATGTTGGGTAGACAGCTGAGGGAATTACAGAGGTCTTTTATTTAGAACTCATAAGGGAAAAGAAAAAAAAAAAAAAAAAGAATCTAAGGAATTGAAGTGCTGAACTCTTCCTTTAAGGAAAATTTTTACTTGACATTTTGACAACCACTGATACCAGATATAACTGCATAGTAGAAAATGGCCACAGGGGAGACTTGTTTTACTTTTGAATTTGTAAATTCAATTGTCAGACTTTTATATGACATGGTTAATAAATGTAGATATATGAGGGTGGGAGATGTGAAGAAAACTTCAATTAGAATGGCTACAGTAACTTTCCCTCTCCTTCATTTTCTTTTCTCTTTCACTCATATCTCTACTCCAGAAAGAAAACAAAAATGAGTATTATTGACATAATGCCAAGGTTACTGTTATGGAATGATTAGGTAATTTTTTTCAAGGGTAGAGGGAAGACAAGAGGCAGGGGTGAGGCGGGTATTAACTTCAGGTTTGGCATCTGCCTGAGCTTAGAACCCTCCCAGTTTGGACCAATTGGGAATTTCAGAAGTTCAGCTTTCTGGAGGTTCTGTGTTGTGCTGGTTTTTCATTTGTTTTGTTTTTCCCTCGAGCAGCAATTTGTTTTTGAAATATAGTCAATATAATGATCTTGTTTGTTTAAGAATGGTAATTTATGTTTACGCTGTTCTTTTAAAGTTAAAATTAGCAAGTTCCTTGAAATAATATGTTTAGAGGTCTCATGAAATATGAAAAAACGAGACTCATTAAACTTCTTTGTATGTGAATGAACAAAGTCACAATGTCTGAGATTGTATAGAGGAAGAATACTTAAACAGAGAACTTCAAAATAAAGCTTTTGCAAATAGAGTGTAGCAAAATAGCAAATACAGCACTGAAGCATCTGGTGTATCTTATCGTAGCTAGTGCTAAGTGATTCCTTTAGTGTGACTGAAGAGCGAACTATGGTGAGGTCTGTTTATAGTTGAACTAAAATAAGTCTGGCTTATGATACTCGCAGTAGTTTTGCAAATTATATAAAACAGGAGTTGAGTGACGTTTTGGTGTTGAATCTTGTAATTTGTAGTACGCTGTTATTCACACCACTACCTACAAGACAGCCAACCTGTCTTTCCTTTTCTTCATAAAAACAAATTTAAAAAAAAACATAATATATTGTATTTATAAATAAATGTGGGAGTCAGAAGTAGCATTTTCCAATTACAGAATGTTTTCATAAAAATTGCTTACTGAAACAAATGAATTTCATGATCAAATCAGAAAAGTGATTTTCTTCTTGAGGATATACAGCTTAAGGTACTACAAAGTGCAGATATGACAAGTGATAATATTGACAACACATTTATAACACAAAACTTCCTTGTTTTATTAAAATAAGAGAGTTATGCCTGTATGGTTAGTGAGTTAGAACCAAGATGAGAGCGTCTATTTCAAAACTTAGTGGTGACAGAATTTTCAGCTTGAAATGGAGCTAAGCAATAAGAATCAGGTTTAGGAGTGGATGTAAAGGCATATCCTCTATCAGAATTCTATTGCAACATGCACAAAACGTGTACTTACCATTTGCTGCCTCGCTTCTTCAAAGGCACGTTTTTCCTCTTCTAAACGCTGTTTTGCTTCTACCTCTGCTTGCCGCCTTTGGTTTTCCTGTCTTTGTCTTTCAAGTTCTTCAAAAGTTACTTTCAGCTTACCAGGTGACAGAGATGCTTGTGTTTCATTGTCCTGATTTTCACCCTGTATAAGGAAAATGAAGTAGTTGCCTTCTAGATAATACATGTTTATTGCTTAGATGTTTTCAGATGAGCGTTTTACCGTGAGAAATGAAAGGCACTTGGTTTCCTTAAGGAATTGGTTTTGTTCCTCATGTTTAAGCTTCATTTCTTCATCTGGTCTTCCTTTTTGTTCTGCTCTTTCTTTTCCTGTGTTATCAAAGTTTATTTTCATCTTCCCAGGTGTTTTGTTGGGTTTTACAGGCACTATTGTAACCAGTAGCGAATCATCCCCTTCCTGTCCAAAAAGATATTTATTATATTTTCATAAAGCTTGACTTCTAGGTAACTTAATTCTTAAACTGTTGGGTTTTTTTTTTACCTGTGTGCACCAAAAGTTCCAAAATAATTACCTGTACTGAGCATTAACAAGAATAAAACTATCTGCCTCTGACAGTTAGTAATTTTCTTGTAATATCTGAAAGCATCAAGACTGAATTATACCTAAAACACAACTGCTGGCAAGGTGTCATTTATATATTTTCATTAACTATTTCTTATAAGTATTCATTATTGGGATAAGAACAAGTTGAATTTTGAATGTGTAGGAGTTGTAGTGGCAGTCTACTTCTTACTATATAAGAGAGATACAGTGGTTGGGATAAGGTACTACTAGAAGTTTGTTCTTTGTCAAGCAGATTAATTTGCATTCGAAGGATGTCTCTGCTTCAAAATTATTTTCATAAATTAATGATAATGATAATGATTAATGATTAAATACCAAAATATGCTTCACCCAATTTATTTTTTTTTTTTAAAGTCAGATACCATAATAACAAGGACACTGTCAAATAACTTAGAAGTAATAGGTTTTGGTGGTGCGTTGTTTTCTTTTTTAACTGTAACAGGAATGTGATTTTGTGTTGGTGACAGGTGATTGGACCTTCAAGCCTAGATTTTTGAAATCATATATTTGTTTGCAAGATTTAAAATAGAAACCCATGTGTTAAATGAGTTCATTTGAGGGGAAAAAGAGTTACCAGCAAGTTGAGACCACTGTTCAAACATCAGTATATTGACAGAACCCCCTTTTAGTGACAAGCTTAAGGCAAAGAGCTTTATGATGATACTTTCCAAAGCCAGAGGATTTAGAGTATCATTGTCAGTATGCCTCAAATCATTGTGGTGGCTTTGAATATTTGTATCTGAGGTGTTCTGAACCCTTCAACATATTATTCACGCTTCAGGCTCTAAAACTTAAATAAATTGAGTTTTAAGTGCAGATAAACACTTCTGCATGCTTTAAAAAGTTCTTAGGTCCTTGGTTGATCTGCAGTGAAATACTTGTGCCCTTTTGGAACTCCTCCCAGCCCATATTACAATAATAAAGCAAAGTGACTAAAAATGCAGGTGAACATTTCTTTAAAAAAAAAAAAGCTGATTACCTCTGCTGCTGATTCAGTTCCCGTATTGTTAAAGTCATCAATCTATTAAATAAGAATTTCATAGGATTACATTAATTTGGCTCTTTGCCTTAGATTTTCAAACATAGAACTGGATTTCTTATTTTTTTTTTGTGTGTGTGTGTGTGTGTGTCAGTGATATGTATGTAGCACTTAAATTCACAGAGATGGTAACGGCTGAGCCTTTGGTGGAATATTTCGGGTAGGTTAGCAAGTTGAGGAACAGGTAACGTGACATCGTACACAAAGCATGCTTCAGCATTCTTAACACTTCAGTGATGAACCGAGGAAAGTGCTTTAGGTGTTCATTCTTCATGTGAGCATTCCATAATTGTATTTCAAAACAAACAAACCAAAAAACAGGAAAGCAAAAGTATTTCTGATTTTAGTGACACTGTCTTCCCCTCAGCTGCCAACAAAAAGTCTCTTGTATTTGGAGTCTTAATAGTGGTAGTTTTATACAGTAACATTCTTTCTAAAATTCTCCATGATATATAATTCTGTCCTTCAAAGTAAATTAAGTATTTGCTGGATAAAACTACTTTTAGCAGGCAATGTAACAATGTTGAAAGTAGAAAAGACTATGTAAGTTCTTGTTGAAAACTGAGTTCTCCTGCAGTACTGTTTCTCTTTTCTTACAAAAAGCCAAACCTCTTTTCATATGAAAAAAAAACCCAACCTAAATTAAATATTCCTAACTTTTTGTAAAATAAATAAATCTTATGGTCCTGGTTATCATCTCAATGTTTACTTGCACTGCAGTATTTGCAGCACTGAAGAAAACTTACAAATGGAATTTAATATGATGCCCCAGTGCAAAATGTTACAAATGACAAGATTTCCTCTACTGGCACAGTTAGAGTCTATTTACATGTAGATGCAGAAACAGCTCACAAAGTGACGAAGGAATAAAACATGACTTGAATTATCATGATTTTTAGTTTATTTGTACCTTCATATACTTGCCTGATGAGGTCATTTTCCTACTTCTTCCTTGCCTCAGTTTATCTATCACTGAACTGTACTCACTTATTTATAAGCAAAAATTGCCTAAAGTAAGCGTTCATAAATAAAAGCAATATTTTCAGATTAATTTAGTAAATACTATAAACACTTAAAAACCCCAGCTTGTGCCTGGTTTCTACTCCTACCACATTTTATGTCTGCTTGCTTCTGCCTGTAACTCAAGCTTAAAAAATTATTACCCTAAAGATTATTTAGAGAATATTTGTCTTCACTTTCTTCCCCAGTTCCATCCCATTCAGTATCTCCTATGTAAACCACTACTATCAGAAATCTTAAAGCATACTTTTGCTGAATACAAAACTTTTTCTGATTTATTTACAGTTATACCTTATTTTGATCAGATCACCATACCTCCTGTGCTTTTTTGGCTAATTCTCTTTGAATTTTCCTTTTCTCAATCATATCCTGCTCAATTCTGCGCTTTCTTTCTTCTTCCGTTCTTTTTCTTTCTTCTTCTTGTCTTTGCTTTTCCATTTCTGCAAACTTGCCTTTAACAGTTCCTGTGGTATGAAACACACAATTCAGTAACGAGATCTAATACCTGCCCAGTGGGTTATGTGGCCTTTAAACTTTGGCCTCTCTTACCTATTAGCTTTGGAACATAACCTTTGTCTGTCTTAGATGACTTTGTATCGTCATCTTCATCAGATGCAAGCAGTTCTTTCATCTGGTTGACGAAATACAGAAAAAGTAAACAGTTTTTACACCTTAAATGAAATTCCAATGATACTGTCTTTAAATAATGTGAAAATACTTCCACGTGCAATACTGAATATTAAAATAACATAAAATATTTGCAAAGAAAAGTAACCTCCTGCTTTCTCCTGTTCCATTCTCTCTCTCTAACATATTGTTCTTTTCTTCTTTGCTTTTCATCTCTAGATCTCCTTTGATTTCTTTCTTCCCTTGCTTTCTGCATAGCTTCAAATTTATCCTTTACATCACCCTTGTGAAGCTTGGGCACATAGGACTTTTGGACGGGTTTAGATGAAGAAAGCAGAATCTTGATGAAGATATAGAAGAAATGAAGATAAGAAAAAGAAAGTTGAAACAGATGAACAGAAGCAGACTGGATTAGAAAGAATGTAAGAACATAAATGTACATTTGGGATTATGAACTCTGTGCCACCAGCCATCATCTATTAAGTATTTGCTCAAAACTAAACAGTAATAAATACAGAAATATCCTAAACAAGTTTTGGCATTGTATTAAACTTAAAAACTGTGACGCATAAGTAAGTATACGAGAAATATAAATGCACACTTTTTTTTTTTATTTCTATGGGCTTAAACATTATATATAGATTTGCATTGTTGCATTGAAATCGTAAGCACTCAAAGAGGTCCTACACCCCTAAGACTGCATTTAAAATAAATAGGCAGACGTGTAATAGAACACGCCTGTGCTCTGCAACTCTTCCACATCTGTAAATGGTTTTAAATACATGGTACTATTAGTTCATTTAAAACCTCCAATATATTATATACTTATTTCTTTTCTTAATATTCAGAGAAATTCATCCAGAGATTTTATGGTGTTAAGGGTCAAGATCCCGGCTTGCAGGAATCTGATCCTGATAAAGGTAATGAACACATCTTTGCCAATACTTAAGTAAGAGAAGTACCTACTTTGCAGTATTACATTTTCCATCTTTTTACTGCAGTGACTGCTGAAATGTTGTCAATACAGTTATGCTGAGAAAACTGGCTGAAAGAAAGTCTGTTTCATATTTTCCACCTAAACCAACAGCAGATACTGTAATGATGTTTTGCTTTTGTTCCTGCCACTCATGGTATCATGGCACAAGAAGAAATATTTTAATAATTTTAATAATATTTTAGCCTGAATTTTCCCCAACATGAAGTTTCTTCATATTTTGTTAGCTTAGTTTTGCATTCTTCATTCATTTTTAATACCAATAAGAACATTTCCCACATTTCATCAAATCAGGTGATCTTCCTTAAGCTGCTCTCAAGCATCCTTCGATTGTCTTACGGTAAAATCAATAACAGCCAGACTTGCAGGATAATTGTATTTTACAATTGTTTTTAACTGCCCTATTTACAAGCATCAGTTGTAAATTCCTATATTACTTCGATTACTTTAAAATTAGTACATACCTCAGTTTTCTGTGCAATGTCATTCATGGTTACAGTATTCCGCTCTGCACCTGGTATGTTTAAGATTGCTTTCAGTTTCTACCTGAAAGAAACAGTTCTAGTTATATTCCTTTCTTTTCCTTTTAAATGATGCTTTGACCATCTTCCTGTAAATAAGTTTGCATGGGCCGAAACTGATGTATCACAATTTCATTTGGTCCTTTGAGGTTCATGAAGAAATGAATAGGTTCTAAGTATGCAACAGTAATTAAAAGAACAAGCTTGAGTTTCACTATTCATGCTCATACCCCTCCACACAGTCCCAGATATTGGTTTTTAATTTCCATTTTAAAAAGAAAGTCCGAGCTCTCAGCCAAGCTCTGGCTGCCCTGGCTGCCTGTTACGAAACTGTTTTTCTCAATACTGTGCTAGCAGAAAGGAATGTGCTCTGCACCTCTGCTGCTCCGCTTCAGGCTGAGGTCTGAGCCAGCGAGCTCAGGTTGCAAGAAGTCTGCAGAACGCCCGGGCCAAACACAGCCTGCTGGAGATGCTGCCTTGCCTTTGTATGGCTTTGGTGGAGAAGCAGTGCTTTATTCCTACTGCCATGGAGTGCGCGAGAGAATGGAGGTAGGCTTCAGCTAGGTTTTGCATCTTGACTTACCTTGTGAGGTTACTTGTACAAATCTGAAAGAGGAGAAAAATCACAGCCAAAACCTTTTTTTTTGTTTGCCCCATGCTGCATGTATGCAGTTCTGAGGGGATGAAAACTATTAAGTAGAGAGAAACATTTCAGGAGCAACTAAAAACTATCTGGTACTATAGATAGCGGAAGTGCCATGTCACACAAGGATGTGACCAAAAATGGCAGCATTCCCTGTTCTAGAGGCCAAACCATCACTTTATGAATGAACTGAATGTGACTGGGGTGTAACGAGAGCAGACAAGTTATATTGTGGTTTTATTCAAACCTAAAAGAAGAGTCTTAGTCCATGGATGGTAGTCATTTAGTAATCCTATTTATAGCCCTGATTCTAGGAAGTGAATCTTCACAAAACTGTGCTTTGATTCTGTCAGTTCTCAGACTCCATAATTACTCCTTGGAAAAAACGAACAAACAAACGTGTTCCATCTGAGCTGATGTAAACATTTTTCGCTTAGCATTCTTACAGCAAAAGTTATAAAACAGAAGTCTTTCAGTGGGCACTAAACTGGCATTGAAGCTTTGTAGTTAAGACTTAAAGTTTGCTGGCAAAAGCATACGCAAGCAATTCCTAGAAGGCACTCGGTTTCCTGAGTCAAGATGATCATCATGGCTGATGTCTGTGAAAATCAAATTTACTTGAATAGAACCATAATGATTATTACCACAAGAAACATGCTAATGGCTCAGTTACACCTTCAGTATTTTTTTTGGCAGCGTGGAACAGAATCTGCTTTGCTTTAATGTACGACAGCTTATTCCTGACTCCCTTTCTCCTGCTAAATCAAGGAAAGCCCCAACTTTGCAATGCGGTCAGTCTGAGTTCCAAACTCTTCCTATGCACAGTGCACTGAGGAACTGACATCCCCCACCAGCCAGTGTTAGGCACATACAAGACTTAAAAATACTATGATTCTGTGAAATAATTACAAAAGGACTTTGTCACATGAATATGATCTGAATTTAGATATATTGATGTAGAAATGACACTTCCTTGAAAAGTTAAAAAAGAGTGCATTTTATGATCTTTTTATAATCTTTGTCTGTAGTATCTTTTGGGGGAGGGAAAAAATAAAAAGGAAAAAATAAAATGAGCCAGGCAAGTTTTTCATTTTTCCAAAAGATGGAGAAATATGCAAAACAAAAAATACACTGCAATCCTAGGGATGTAAGGAATGAAGGCACTCTGATTCTTTTTTTGTTACATTTTTCCCCTTAAAATAAGATGGGAATGGCAGGGTACCTTATGTTTAATTAAACAGGCTTTAAATTCTCTCATTCTTAATTATGAATAGACTACAAATGTGGGAATTTTTATGTGGCATTAAAAATAATGAGCGTTAGGAATTGTCTTTATGTTGGCTCTTCAGAAATACGCAAAAGGTGTCCACTGTGGCTGGTGCTGCTTTAGCTGCTGAACGAGATTCTTAGATATCCCAAGATATCTAAGCCAGAGCAGTCACAATATAGGAATCAGGAGTGTTTGGCTACCACAGCCTGCCCCGACTGACAAATCCTGAATTCTGGGAATTCAGCTTCAACATCTGGCTTCTCATTTTCAAACGAGTATGTAAAGTCATTGCCCAAATCAGACTGACAAGCATCTTTTTGTAAAGATCTTCTTTGTAGAGCGATATGTATAGGATGCATTTCTGTTTGTCACTTGTGGACGCAGAAGTACTAAATGTAAGCTCCTACTTACTTTCAGATAAGCAGATTACAATTCTGTTGTGTCTGGAAAGACAGATAACGTTAAAAGCATTCTTGGTCTAAAGGTCCCTGTATGCCATGGATGTCCAACCTTTTGGCTTGCCTGGGCTGCACTGAGTGAAGAGGGAATTGTCATGGGCCGGATATGTGTTGGTTGATCCAAAAGTAATGCCTCCTATTTATCTCCATGAAAACGACAACCAATACAAAGAGCACTGTATCAGTTTGAGAGAACAAATTCTCAGCTACAGAATGCTATTTTTCAATACAGTCACCACCATCACCACCATTAGCTGTGCAGTTTTACCCTGCATGCTGCGGTCATAAAAATCTGCACCACTGGAGTTGATCCATTACAACCACTGCTGAAACACAGCATCCACCACTTCATTGTGCCAGCATCCACTGTTTGGTCTCCATCACCATTCAGCTAGTGTCAGTGAGCGCCATTTTTTCCACATGGAGGAATACAGTTACACACATTGACCTAGAAGTGTGCATGAAGCCAGAGGCCATTTGGTCAGACAGCCCCTCTGCTGCCATTTGCCACGCAGCAACATGTTACAGAATACTGGGGGGAAGCTTCAGCCTCTACTGCCGTCCCTCCAATGTCTGCCTCTGATGTCATGGGACAATATAATAAAATAGGAGGCATTACTTTCCAAGCAGCCCTCAGAATACATATTTAATATATATAAAGTAACAACACTAAATTGTTTAATGCTTTTTATCAAAACATTAAAAAGAGAGCTACAAAACCAAAGAACTCGTGAGATATGTGACCTTGTTTTTGTGAAACTAACGCGTCAGTCTGGTTTGATGGCAGTGGGTGCAATTCTTAGTGAGCTCTCAAGGTGTCCATCAGAGATGATGGATGAAATCTTACTCTTGCTGTGTTTCATCCTTCAGTTGCTCACAAATGTACGTACAGCCTAAAAGCAATGGCATGAGGAAGGTATGACTGTGAAGTGAAAGGATCTCCCTCTGGTAAGAGAGGGCTTATAAAAGTCTGGTAAAGAGACATGATCAAATTTTTTATTGCAACTCTATACATTACTTCTGAATTTTCTAATGGAATATATTTGACTGAAAATGGACTCACACATAAACAAAAATATATATATATATTTGCAATCTTGAAACCTCTTCTCAAATTCCTGTATCAAAATGGAAAGCATGGCTGCATATTTTTTGAGGCTCACAGGGCTGTGTTCAGCCAGTGTATCAAAATCCACAAGCATATTTGCCATAACTTTAGCAGGCACCACACTGCACCTCGTGCCCTGATTTCAGCCCAGGACAGCAGGTTGGATGTGCCTGCTACATGTTTTAAAGTACGTTCATGTATTGTGCTTTCGAGTTTGGGTGTTTTAAGAGTTTATCTTCTTTTGCGTAGGTAAGTGATATCCCATAATAATCAATATGACTTAAAACTAATGAAGACCCTTTGACTTCCTCATTCTTTCATGCAGGTCTGAGAGAACCCTTAATGCAAGGCTGGAGCAGAGAAGTTAGTCCTAACGTTAATCTCTCGTGAGGAATGACTCCATTTCACTTAAAGTACTCCAAGCGATGTCCAAATGCTCACTGAACTCCATCAGGCTTGGGGCCATGCCCCCCTGGTGCAGACCTTTTCCCTAACCCCCACCTGCTCCTCCCCTGACACAGCTCCATGCCATTCCCTCGGGCCCTATTGCTGTCACAGAGAGCAGAGCTCAGAACTGCCCTCTGCTCCCTGGGGGGAGCTGCATGCCATGAGGCCTCTCAGCTCTGCACTGAACAAACCACAGGACCTCAGTTGCTCCCCATATATCTCACCCTGCAGACCCTTCACTGTCTTCACAAACCTTGGATGCTCTCTGGTTGTTTTACATCCTTATGTTGTGATGACCAAACAAGCGTGTGGTGCTTGAGGTGAGGAGAAGAGTGGGACAATCCCTTCCTTCACCCGCTGTCAGTGCTGGGCCTGGTGCACCACATCCTTGTAAATCCCTGCTCTTTGAACTTTCAAAAATGTGCTAGTCTAACTTGTTGTGGGCCTTCAAGATGGTAGATACATCTCTGCCATTTGGAATACTGCCACATCTCCTCTTACTTTAGGTCACTTTCCAATCCTTTGGCATCACCTACCTGTTAATGTGCTTGAAGGTTAGCCAGCTGGCTTCAACACATTTTGCAGCTGTAAGTCATCCTGCCTCCACCTTTGATGCTAATAGATATGGATGTAAAGCAGTAGGTCCTCACTACACATGATACAGCCCATGTTTGCCTCCTCACCCCTCAAACATGAACAGCAGCAGGACCTTGCTTCAGGGACCCCTCGAGTGGCTTCCTTCAAGGTCAGGAAGCCCTAAAGCCTACAAATTGTGAAAGAATAATTCCTTCATCATCTACTGACAGCTTTGCAGAAAGCATGTGCTAATTTTCCAATCCAAGAAACTTTGACATTTTGCTATTTTCTAATAATAGCAACTTTTAAGTAAGATACTATTTAATACAAGCAATGCTTATTCTTTAGGGCAGCAAGGGTCTACATGTACATGTACTTACTTCAGAAAACATTTGTCCTTCTACTATGAAGTTGTCAAGAACTTAAGATTCACTCTATCTTTTGTTTCCTGAGATCATCATATCAGAGGAAAAGTCATAGGAGCTCCTCAACAAAGATTTGCACTCCGAAAATCCCAGGATTACAATATTGAACATAACTGACCAAGAAGTGAAGGCTTTTCTTTTCCCATCCAATCTCATCACCTTGGCACTCACATCACACTGTTCACATCGTTTTTTTCTCACATTTTACCTTCCTAAGCTTGAGATACATCTCAGGAAATGTTAAGCCTGGCATTTTCATGTTTGTACTGAAATTGCTGGATTGCGGTTCCATCTTTAGAAGAAGAATACAGCAGGATTTTTCTAGAAGGAAAATTTAACCTCCAACATTAGACCAATGGTTTTACATTTGGAACTGCGTGGAAGAGAAAGCACCATTATGAGCATGGCTTGACTGGCTGTAATGCAAAGCCATCTCTCAAAAGTTTTGAGTCAAAATGTAGTACAAAACCACTAACGTGCAGAGAACTAGGCAACAGATCAGAAATACTCTGGGTAATTCACAGAGAAAACAACTGTGTCTGTTTTCAAGCATGTTATTTGCATGCTCTTAATGGTTATGCCATCGGCTCTGGTGATACGTCTCAATTTGTTACGATTGTTGCACTTCAGCTTTTTCACACAGACCTCCTAAAACCTCACTCTAGGCAAAACATCCTAAAACTGAACAAATTAAAACCATTAGGGGGACACAAGAGGTTTGATAGCTCCTAAGTCTTGAAACCTACCTACTTAAAAGTAACTTATTTTTATTTCAGTGGAGTAATTAACATCCTCACGTGAGAGATGTGGAGAAATACAAATGTTTTCCTTCTCTTTACAAATGGGAGTACAAAGCCAGGACTTAAAATAACCGTCGAGCTGCTCTGTGATTTCTCCTTTCAGGAGGCCCCCCTGCCGTCTTCCTGGCTACTGTGAGTTATAAATAAGCCCTCTGCAGCACGGTCTAAGTTACGGTTACCATCTGTCTCTCTTTGTGATCCACTTGCAGGGAAGATTCCATTATATAAGAAAACCATATTGTGAGACTTGGAAACTTAGCACTTGCAGCCAAAGCACTTAAGAGAGGAAAACACAGTCCGTAATGCTAAAGTATTTAAAGAAGGATTAAATAGAACTAGGGAGAGGAGGGGAAGGTGAGCAAGGCTCACCATTTCTGTCCTTACTGCAACTTCTCTGGTATGACACTACCAGTTGTTGTACTAAATTACAGATACTAAAGTAGATTCTAAAATTATCAGGCACGGGGGAAGGTCCTGAGCTGGTATAAACTGCAGCCAATGAGCAATGACCGTTAACACCAGCTGCCCAGTCATTGCTTTTTTGTAGAATACAAAACTACTTCCACTCAGTTGTATTTAATTCATGAAGTCTTTACGATTAAAGACTTATTAATAAGGACCTACCAAAAACTGACTCAGTTAGCTCAACTTCATCTACAATCTTTTCCTCCCTCTTTCAAATTGTTGCATTTTGAGTCTTCTGTTGCAGCAGAATGGCCTTTGCAGATATTGTGCTGTTTCACGCTGCACGTGAGGTACGGCTGCAGTTTGCCTCTTCCTATCTCAGATGCCAGCACACAGCCCTACATGCTGCTTCTCTGACACATGGATCCTTCCCACATGGAGTGAGCTCCATTGACCATCTCCACTCTACTGAGCGCTGGGCCAATGTCTGAGGGCAGTGCCTTCACCAAGGACACAGCCAGCGCACAGCACAGCAGGGCTCACCCCGAGCGCTCCCTGAGCTCACCTCAGATTTCCCCACCTCGTTTCCAGCACCATTCCTTGCTAAGAGAGCTACAAGGCAGAATGTCCACATGTTGTAAGTTATGGATTATCTGACAGAGGAAAACACCCATGTATGGCATTCCAGACACGGCCAGAGAAAGCATTTCTTGGGGATGTGTCCTGAACTGTTGCTGGCTGCCCAGTTTTGTATTGCGCTGAGGGTTTTCTGCACATACCAGATGTGTTCCCATGTTGGTGTGTATTCTTTAGTGCAACTGGCCTCCCTATAGGACTAATTATCATTTCATAATTTCGTTTTGCAAGACATTTTTCTAAGAGACCTGAGGGCAAAACAGCACCACTCTGTAACACACAGCCGCACACCGGCTGGCTCCAGAACGGTGCTGCGTTCCCCTCAGCGTTTTCTTCGCGAACGTTCATTGTATCGACAGAAGCTCTTCTACACCCAGGCCAAAACCGGTGACAAATCGTTGGTAAGCTGTCAGAGGAGCGCACTATTTCCCCCGAGCCGCGCTGCCTTACAGCGGCAGAAGCCGCTAACAAACAGCACTGCGCTCCAAAGCAAACGATCGGCACGGCGCTCACAACCGCTCAGCACGGCGCCGGCAGCTCCCGGTGCGCTCGCGCGGAGCCACGCGTCTCACGGCCGCGCGGATTTCTGACCGCACAGCTCCGCGGAAAGCGCGACCCCGTGCCGCTGCGGAGCTCCTTCCGCCGGGCTCTCCGACCCTTCCACAGCCCTCCGCCTCAACCCCTCCTTCCAGAGGCGTCCCGGGGCCCCGCGCTGCCCGCTGCCGCTCTGCCCGCGCTGCGGAACCCACCGACCCTCCGTCGCCCTTCTCAGAGGGGATGCGGCGAGGTGTCCGGTCCGACGAGCCCCTCCGCTCCTTACCTGGAAGCGCTGCCCCGCCGCTGCGTCTCGGCGTAATCCCGGCGGAGCGGGCGGGAGCGGTGGCGGCTGCGGAGCGCCCCTTGGCTGCGGCCGCCGCTCCGCCGCTGCAACTTTCCATAAAAGTCGCGGCGCGCGGCCGGCGCCCGCATTCCAGGCGAGCCCCGCGGCGCGGCAGCTGTCCCGCCTCAGCCTCAGCCCCGGCCCGTGGCGGCTCGGCGTGCCCGGCCCCTCGGCGCGGCGGGGGGCTCAGCCCGGCCGCCCCGTCAGCTCACACCCCCCCCTCCGCCCCCACCCCGCACAGCCGTCCCCGGCCAACGGGCTTATTTTGGGCTGGAAGCACCACGGGGCTATAAATAACCGGGGAGGGGGGCTGCGCATTCCTGGTCGCGGGGCGGCGGCGGAGCCCCGGGGACGGCAGCGGTTGTGTCCCCGTCCCGGATCCCCGCCGTAGGGAGCCCCGAGTCCCGCACAGCGCACTCACCCCCGGCTGCGGAGCGCTGCTGCCTCATGCCCCTCAGCGGGGCGGCTTTATAACCTGCCGCCGTCAGCTCCTCGGTCGCTTTATGGCACACGCGAAGCAATCGCCTAATAATAGTGCTGTGACAGTTAGCTGATGGAGCGGACAGGAATCCGGCCCGTGCCAGAACCCAGAGCGCGTTCAGCCTAAAGCAGCGCCTTGCTCTGGAAACTTCACTAAGCACAGGCAGAAGCGTGGTTTTATTACATCTGAATGCATTCCTTTTCCCCCTTGTTTCCTACCTTTCCAGTTGCACGGTCCCCAGCGCAGGAGAACGTCCTCCTTTCTATCTCCCTTGTATTTTGTCTGCCAGACTGGAGCCAAGGGGCAGCCGGAATCACAGGCACGGGGCTGATAACCACACACCCTCAGCCTTTGCCAATCTGAACAACAGATACCAATGCTAAAACACAGTATGTATTTCAAAGGACAGCACAGAACTTTCCCCCCGTGCCATGGTCAGAAAAGTTGTACTGCCAAAGTCAGGGCACACATGCTAATAGGCAGGCATTCAGTTAGCAGCCTTCAGCAGACATACACCCAAATTTGCTCGTATCAAAACATATCTGCACTGCTGTTGTGCATCAGCAAGGATTGGACGCCTTCCTTAAGTTCTATGTTTCATTACCTGCCCTCCAGGGAAGCCTTAGCTCATGTAGTGGGACTATTTGGAAATAAACCTGAGAACAAAACAAAAAACAGCTCCTAAAACCACGAAAAGAGATAACAACCTGACAGAAATAGAAGAATGCGATTAAACGACACTGATTAGGGCAGAGATCTCAGCAGCAGACCAGCCACTGCCTTTGTCACACCTCTGATACCTGCTGTGTAGGCAGCACGGCAACCATCCTTGGGGCAGGGTTCTCTTCCTTTGTTAAGACGTCCGCCTGAGTCACCTGTTTGACTTCAAGGGCTAAAAATTCCACTCTTCAGCTTCGGGTGGATTGCTGGCCAATGTGTTGAAAATTGATCACTCCTTTGCACCATAGAAGCAGAATGAAACAGGTCTACAAAATCAATTTAAACTGGACAGCTGATCCCATTCCATTCCTTTTTCTCATATGTTCAATATTGTCATATTTTTGTTGGATTCTAAGAAGCAAATTTAAATTTCAATTCAGATGGCTAACTGGTATTAAAACTGCTTCATATTAAATATTTTTACATTAGATGTCAAGGATTGTGCAAACTCAAGTTTTGGACAGTTATCCAAACAAGTAATGTCACAGCATTATTTTATTTAGTAACACAACCGCAGTTCATTTTGGCAATGGGAAGCTCACGGATATGCTCACTCCAGCACTTGATTTGACACATTTAGCTTGACAGAAACTAAAGACTACAAAAGACAAGTATAATAACCATTAAGAATGCATGTGAAGTGAGATGATTATAACAACAAAATTGCAAATGATGTAAATACTCGATTCTTCTATGGTCCTTACACATTCAACATTTCTGATCTTAGCTTCAGTTACGACAGAACAGGACAGCTTTTAAATTTAGCTTGCTCTTATTAGCACAGAAAGTAGCATTCAGAACTATTTGAAAAGAGGTTATGAACTAAATTCTTACTTCTTAGTTATGAATTCAGTAAAGCCACATCATACCATCACTGCTTTGGTGCAGCTCTGGCATTTGAGTTTTCAAAGGTGGCAGACTTGGAATTCTTCAGTTGTGTGGCAGTTATCAACAGATACTCCTTATGTCCCCTCGAGCTCAGTTGTATAAACCTCGGCAAGAAGGCAGCTCCCTCCCACTTCAATTCACAGCTCTGCTTTTGGAGCTAGGAAGGGCAGAATATGCAAATGCTTTTGAGGTCCAAAAGGTCCTGAAGGTATCTGCATATGCACATTTCTCTGCTCCCCTTTTTTCCCCCTTCCTCCCTTCTTCTCTCTCTCCTTACCTATTTCTTTCTTCCTTAATTTCATTTTCTTTTCTTTTCTCTCTTCTTTTTTTTTTCCAGAAAGTTCACATAAATAGAAGCCAAAGTCTAAAAGAAACATCTATTGTTGATACCTCTCTGCAACCAGATGCTGTAACTCCTATTCCGGATGGGAAGCATCAGCCTCATTTCTGACCTGATTCTACAGACTTCTGAGAGCTCTGTGATGTCATGGAAGCATTCCTGACCTAAAGGGATACATTTGTTGAACCAAAAATATCAGGTACTTAACCACTTTCTAAATATTTTGGCATAGCATATTGGTTTTTGTTTTAAATTCTTTCATTTCTGACAGAAGACCACAGAATTAAATCCTTTGGAAACAGCCTCATATCAGCGCTGTTGAATAACATTTGGGTCGTACTCTCTTCTGGAGTATTTTATAAATACAAGAATTGCTCACTCAGGAATTTACTTTTGTAAAAATGTGTATTTCTGCTTTTCTGTGATGAATGCTAAGGTATCATTTTCTCAACATTTTATTGGACCAGACAAACTAAGCTTCCTGTGACACACCAAGTGCCCAAGTGGTATATTTGGTGTGAAATATGCCATTTACTCTCTTACTGATTCTGAATCCAGTTTGACACCTTATAGTTCAATATAATCCCACTGACAGACTGCAGAAAGCTGTCATCAGACAGGAATTTTTGAGCACTACAATGAGAGGAGATAAGTATGCTTAAGATAAATGAGAAGGGTGACACAAACTTCACGTTCTGGTATTGCAGATATTATCAACTGAGAAAGAGAAGTACAGCAGAGTGCCAAGTTCAGCAACCTGAATGGTGGAAACAGTGCAACAGCAGCATTTGGAACTTTTATTTTATTACACATAGAATTATAGTTTTGGGTTTTTTTTTGTATTTTTTGTTTTTTGTTTTTTTAATATAATCAGTTGGCATTTCACACAAGTCATATGATACTTTTTCATCATCTTTATCAAATGAACACGACAAAAAGTTGGCTTCAGTAAAACCTATGGAAAGACACTGGCCCTCATCTTCAAGTACCATCAGTTTGGGTTATTTGTGCAACAGCAGTTGAAATGTTTCTAATCAAAGTTTGCTTCAATATGTTACATCACAACAACATGCTCCTGAATATCTGAATGTTTAGAATTAGTCTATAATTAGTCTCATTACTTACTTAACACAGGCTGAATTCTTGTAGGCTGGCTTTGTGTGGCCAAGAATACATCAACGTAGTTTAAAAGCTAACTAGAAAACACTGTTTCAGTTCAAAGGAATTCAAGACTATAGATCATTATTAGCTTTAACACAGTCAAAATGTTGCTGCAAGTTTTCTCATGCCTCATTACTGTATTGCCTCCTAACCAATGTTAAGGTTTCCATATCCTGAGCCACCACACTTTTGCATGTTAACCTTTATGGCCAAAAATCACCACATTTCCTCCCAAATAGATAATTGACCTCCTTACAAGGAAGGCAGGAAGACGTAAATGCTTTTAATTACAAAACACTGCCCTCGATTCTGTTTCACGATTAAAAAATTATCATGATTTAAAAACGTATTTTGAAATGCTACATAAGAACTAAGAATTGTATCCATCACCACCATTTAAAGTCTTTGCAGTTTTAAAAAAGAAAAAAAAATATTGGTGAAACTAGCACAGCTGTTTGGATATAAAAAGTGGTCTCATTCAAACACCTTCATGATTATTAGATTTTGTGCAAAAAATAAAGCAAAAAAATGCATACTGGAAGTCATTACTGCCCAAATAGTGCCTGCATCACTCTTATACTGTAGTACAAAACGACTGCTTACATCCACACAAATGTAACTTCAGGGCAGTGGCAACATGTTCAGTTTTGTGACTGTGATTCCTTTATTGCATGTGTCACATGAACCAGAGACTGTATAACTGTATATACCCCCACTGAAACACCTCCTTGGCCTAGACACATCATGACTTTGAGACTCTGTAGTGAACATTTTGTACTGTAAGCCTTTACATGAGACACATCCATCAGCTCCACTTACAAATTATCTGTGGCAAAAGTACAGTATTTCATAAATAAACTTTACCAAAATATTACAGAAAAAAAGCTTTGGGATACATTAAATATAAACATGATGTCAGCTGAGCTGCACATTTAATTTAGATATATACAACAGTATGCTCACCAGTTCTTTTTGTAGATGTGTATCCTCCCTGAGTCCTTTTCCTTACTTAACAACATGGTACATTGTCAGATGTTTGCTCATTAACAGCAGTGAAAGCTTTGGGGTGGGAAAGAAAGGTGGGAAGGAGCATGTCAAAGTGCACTCCATCTCATATCTCATGGGTTTTAAGCTTACTGAGCCTTTGCTTCTAAGAGCCCACTGGTCATCACATGCCCATGACCACTTACACAAGCACTGGCATGTTTCAATGAATCTGCTCCAAGATAGGCCATCAAAAGTTCAGTGCGTCGGATTAATAATTGCATGAGGTCTTCAGCCAAACTCTCCATAGTTGAGTATCGTACCTTCTCAAAGTCAAAGATGTCTTTGAGGAAGAAAAGCACTTGATCCTAGTGGGGGGGGGAGGGGGGAGAAGGAAAAATGTGTGTTTATTTACAAGAAGAAAAAGGAAAAAGCATGCAATGTTACCTATTTCTTGCTCACATTTCACAAAACCATCCATTTATGTATTCTTCCAGTGCAGAGATATAAGTGCACTAAAATATACTTCATAGAACAGTTCTAAGCCTAAAAAGCTTAGTCAATATGATAGTAAATATTTCCATCATTTTTACTGTTTGCTTTAATTTTAGGAAAATACAAATGTGTGCCTGTAAGCAAGATCCTCATTTCTTTTCTTCCACAGGATTTTTTTTTTTTTTAATTAAGATAAGTGGTAATGAAGAAGAAGGGACAAACCTTGAAGAAGCAGCATAAGTCATAAAGGGAATTTCTAGGACCCAAAAAACCCCATGCCAAAACAGGGCTGATATGTTCACATATAGCATAGAAATGAGCAAAAAATCCATCAGGTACCTGGGGATGTAAAAATTGGAGAGTTACACAGTACATTTAAAATAAAGCCTTATTACATAAAACTGTGTTTAAAAAAGCCTAAAAATCCCACCACTGCAGAGTTGTGGCAACCTGGTAACTCTACCAAGCAACTCTTGTTTTAGAAAAGTGGTGCTGGTTTTCTTTGTAAGCTTGTTTGTTTTAAACTCCTCTGGTACTTTGCATTATTAGGAATAAGGTAAATAAGTTCACGACCAACCTACTCCGATTCTCCCACCTGACAGATCAGATAACTTTATTCAGTTACTCCTGTTTGAGATCCTGGCTGAATCTTGTAAAAAGTAAGAAATTGCATTTGAAGCCGTCTAGAAATTAAAACGCCTCCTTACAATTCCATTCTAAAAGTTAACTTCTGCTATTGGAAAGTAGGAATCAAGTACAGATCTAAATACCCAGTTATCCCCTTCTCCACAATGTTAAAAGCTTTGCTAATATTAGGCTCTTCCTCTACAGACGCTCAAATACAACAGTTTAATTGTTTCCTGATTTTCTTTTCCATCCTTTTTGTTCAGGCACGCAGTTTGGAATCACTAAAGTTGGGCTTCCTCAGCTGCAGTATGCAAAATCACTTCCAATGGCTATGGCTGTCCAGCAGAAAAGCTCAACTTCGCTTATGAACAGAATATTAGAGATGGAGGCATTTGCCTTCAGGTCTCATAAAAACCCCTAAAAGCAAACAAAAAGTGGAGCTGCTGTCACAGAGGAGTACTGCTTCACAATCTGCAGTTTCTTCCATGAAAGCCAGAATGCCAAAGGGCACTGAGGGAGGCTGCAGCACAGATCCGGCAGTCCTTGAGGGCAACTTCAGGTAAGTAAAGAAATGGGACTGACTTACAGTTAGCTTTGGAGACGGTGCAGGGACACAGGGTTGAGAATGTCCCTAATCAGTGACCTTGGTCTGCAAAAATCTGAAACACACGTGTGGACCCAGAAATCACAGATTCTACTCTCAACTATTTTTTGGCCTAAACTGGTTTGAGAATTTTTCAGGTCAGACTTTTTGCTAAAAAAACTCGTATCAAAACCCCACAAGCTAAACTTCTTCAAACGACAGACTTGTTGAAACTAATATGTCTACAGGAGTAAGGGTTGATCTGTAATTATTTTTTCCAAAACAAGGCAGAACTTCGTGTTCTTTGGAGTAGCTTTGGTACATATAATTTGCAAAGCAACTTACCTTCATTTGCTGTCTTTTCTGCTTCAGTACTGACCAACAGCTCGAAGCCACAGCCTAGATGTAAAAAAAAAAAAATATAATAATAATAAAAAAAAATTAAAAAAATTTAAAGTGTCCATTACCATTATAAAACATTATAAAACAACAATTATAAAAATTTTCATCTAAAAAGCACTGATGTGCAGATGTTATATTTCTAAATGTCCTTCTAGTTTCAATCTTGTGATAACACAAAATTTTCAAGTATAAAATATCAGCTGATGCCAACAACTGATTTTACAAAGTGTTCATATTTGTTCATATTTTGAAATCTTTCTTTGTTACACTTTCCTTAGATTAATTAAAATGTGATTTGGCACCCCTGACTGTTTTTTGGTTTGTTTTTTTTTACAGTCAAACAGTTAGCAACATCTACTCAGTTTAACTGAGGGTCAGTCCATTATATACCAGAAAGTGTGCTCAGACATCAGTAGTTATTTTAGATACTAAATAGCATGTGAACACATCGTAATGTCCTTTTTACTTTTAGCAAAAACATTCCTGCAATAGCTTTGGATTCAGCGAAGTAGTTTTGTCCAAATATGGCTGTGTATAATACAATATACCCATATCAGAACTCCTCTTTTTCCCCCCTCATAGCTTCTAACAGAATTCTATCCCCATCTGATTCTCCATGCGTACTTGAAGATAATTCACTATTCTCAAAATGCTGTTATTGCATACTTACAATATGTGTGTGTGTGGGATGGCATTGTGTTCATTTACTTGTACCTGGAGCAGTTCATGCCTTACTGCTAGCACTCTGGTTTATGTACCAAAATCTGGATCTAATATCTAAGATGGGGCTAACAGAAAATTCCCTTGTAAAATTTTACTTAGAGCAAACATATTTTTGCAGGTCAGGCTAAAGTATTTTCCCCAATATACTCAACCATCTTATATATTTTTGGCAGAGTGGTAGCTCTTAAACTGTGATTACAAAAAAAAAAAGAGTGATAAAACAATTTTTTTTTTCTGCTGAAGATACTTCAGGTATATATTCAGTACATATAATTGTAGTGGAAGCTGAATTAGTCTTTACACTGAAGGAGCACATAGATTCTTTATTTCAAAATTAAATGCTTTTATCAAGATGATATACATAGTCTTTATTATGGAGCTGATGGATTTATTCTCATTCTTGAGAATCCACTCTAATAACATAAAGCACAGATCACCAGAAGAATAATTTCAGGATATACAGAATTTTATATCAGAATGCTCACACCGATGTTATATTCATCATAGCATCTACTTATACTGATACACCACAACAATACCAGGATTATGAAAATAACAAATACTTACTGTTTCTTTAAAAGAGGAATTCAGCCAGCGGTTGTTTACTACATTCTGTATAGATATTGGTGGATTTTCTAAATCTTCAAATGAATCCATCAATATGAAGTCCAGAACAACATCATAAAAATTCAAGTTTTTTACCTATATTAAACCAGAACATGGTCTAAGTAACTTAGTTTCACTTTCAGCAGTGGAATTCAACATGCATCATATTCTAACTGTTTTAACACACAGATGTAAAGAGAAGCAGAACAAAATGTAAATGCTTTCTGGTACTAAAGTACACTGGTGGATGCCATTTCTCTAAGTCAGGATTGTTAGGCATGACAGAGTTGACTTTCCCACAATTCTGAACTGAAAAGAATTATTTTTGGCTGCTACAGTTGGCATAATTGAGGGTAAAAACACTTGAGAAAGTCACACTCACTCCTCTAGCAGCAAGTTCCATTTCAGTATTATCCCAGTGATCCGTTTGTTCCAAGAAATATATCATTTCATCAAAGACATCTTCAAATTTCTTTGGATTCTGCAAAGTAAAAGCAAAGAATGTCAAGCAAACCTAACACAAGAGATGGTTTATTTACATTATAAAATGAATTATGGTAGAAGTTACTTTAGCAGTGAAACATCAGTCAAAAAAAAGGCTTTTACCTTTCGTGCTCTCACAATTAGGGCAGATAAAATTTTTCTTCCACTTTCAGCAAGAAAAATTCTGTTTGCTGTTTCTGAAAGAATTATCTAGAAAAGGTTTTAGAAAACATGGACATATTCATTCACAGATTATAGCAAGTGATCTTTAATTATTTCGATCAAATTTAATAAAGTTTTCTTCATTACAACCACTGGTATAGTAGGCAAGTTCCCAAGAAGTCTTTGGTGCAAATATTCCAAATTTTGTTCAACATAAGATTGGGATGCCCCATTTTAGAATTACAGAAATGTAGAAATTATAGCAATAATTAAGAATATGCTTAATTATGGGATATGTTATTAAAACATTTGCATGAGTACTGCACAGATAGTGGCACTTCAATGTCATGTGTCTTAGGTTTAAGAAGGCAGATGACTTTGCTTTCTGCTTACCTGGAAAGCTTGTCGAATACAATGAAGCTTAGCAAGGAAGTCGCTGTCCCCAAGACATTCAAACATTTCAGTCCTAAGAAAAATTAAAAAAAATAAAATAATAATAATAATCAAAAACATCAAATAAAGAAGCACAAGAAAATTCAACTACAAAAATGCCCTGTATGAGAATCCTGTATTCTGCACAGAATATTTAATTTTATTGTTTTCTTTTCTTGCAGATTGTTAAGTAGACAAATCAATACATTAATACCTTAATACTCGTGAATAAACTTTGCCTTCTTCTGCTAAGTGCATTGCTTCTTCATACAGTGGGCAATGGCAAAGGGAATCTAGCCCATAGGTATTACGAACTTCTCTATGCTCCGTAAGCTGGGGGGAAAAAAAAAGTAACATTCATTAAAGGACTTGCCAAAGTTTTCCTGATCTTCTAATAAAGTTGTATCCTTTTCTGTAGCTGCTTTAAAAAAAAAAATAACATAAGAAAAGAGGGGGCAACACTGAGCTAGTAAACCAAAGTGGGGCACCGTGCTATTAATAGGGCTGTAATTTCGTGCCTTTTAAAATCTGAAATCTACAGCTTCAGGTTTTGATTTGTAAAAGTTTAATTCATAAACTTGCACCTGCTCTGATTTTCACTAGTTAGATCTGATGAGTCTCCATGCGGTTCAAAGAAAGCAAACTAAGAAAGTTGTAAAGACACTGAAAATACAGAATAATTACATTATGAATATCTTCAGGAAAGTGGAAGTGATAACTTTCTCCCACAGCTGTTCTTGTTTCCCTCGTCAATATGTCTTCAAAACTCTAAAGCCCACAACGATAGCTTGTGTCTCGATGCTCTGTGCTGCACAACAGCTTCTGGAGTTCACAATGTACGTTGCTCAATGTATGTTGTATGGTGCTCAGACACAAACCTGTTTTCTACAGACAGTTTGGCTTTAAGGCTGTACGTATTAGTGATGAGTTGATGAAACAAATGTAAAATATCAAACCCCGGAACCTGCAATAGCTTTTAAACTCGGACCAGAGCAGTTAAGAAATACAAACAGACTCAGTGCTTTTGTTTGCCAACCACAAGTTGTTTCTTAACAAATAGAAAAAATTCTCAGCTGTGCAGAAAAATCTTTTTGACTACCAAAATGACCACCTACGTGAAAGTACCAAAAATACGCAGTGCTGGCCCTTTTAGGAATTCTTGCTTGCTTCCTGTAATAAAGAGGTCACTTTACTGGTGCAGTCAGCTTTCCTTGCATTCTGAGAAATGATGCTTATCCTGTATTAAAAAGATGAATGAATTATTTCTCTGGCTATCTGCATCTTTAAAAAGATTTTTCTTTTATATATTAATTCTTCCCTCCCTTTCTCCACGTGTTTTATGAAGTTGTTAAACAGCTCCTCATGGTTTTTCATGGAGAGCGTGCTAGACTGCAAGACATGTTCTGAGATAAAGCAGTAATCCATATGACATCGGGTGGACTAAATGAACATATGAGGAGTGACCAGGATGAGAATGATGAATCCTGAGAAGATCAGATTAGCAAGAATAGGCACAACTCTGAAAGTCAGTCAGAAAACAGGAAGGCACATCTTGAATCTTTGTAATGGAAAAGGAAAAGAAAACTCATTAATAAATGCTATAGAATATACATTGTTATTATTTGCTAACACCATTCCCTCCGGAATTCTCTATTTTGGGAAAGAAATAAAACTTCTGTTGGGAAAGCAGGAAAAAGGCAACACTACTTTTCAGTGTCAGAGCACTTCTGGAGCATGTTCTGGATCTAAAATTCTGTCTTAGACATTCTGAAGGCTGCTGTGCCATTTATAAATAGGTTCAGACCTATAGAAACTGGTATTCTTTCCCTGTTATCAAAGCCTGTTGCTTCCTGCACTACTTTGTTTTTAACAGATTTGAAGCAAAGAAGACAATCTTCGTAAAATAATTATGTGGGGAGCAGACAGGAAAGGACAGCTAAGGATTTTCTCACAAGTCTTAAAAATTTCCTAAGCTCTGGGCTGAGATAACATTTCCACAAAGCAAAGTTTATTTTCTAACAGAACTACAAATTCAGTTGCAATCAACATAAGGAAGTAAGACATCATAAACACAAGTGTACCAACAACACAGAGGCAGCAATGAAATTCACTGTCAGGGAGACAGGAAAAGAAGAAAAATGGAAAAGAAGCCAGAAAAGGTGGAGACC